CACACACACACACACACACAAACACTCACACACTCCTCCACAGTGGTGCTGTGCGGACACTCTCAGGTTCCCACTTTACAATAGTGACATTTTCTTTCTGCTGGTTACATTAGAGTCCTCCCTGTACTTTCATTCCTCTGTTTCTTCACTCTAGAGTGCGGGAGCCCAACATCTCAGAGAAAAGGTCAGAACGAGGTGCAGCAACACTGGTGCGAGTCGACAACAGTCTTACATCTGACAGCACTTTTCTTTTTGTGCGCGGGTTCTTCAGGGCAGAGCTGAAAGATTCTTTATTGATTCCACTGGTAGACAACTGCAGAGCTGCTTCTGAGTATTTTCAGAGAGGGTCCACGTGAAGTAAAAAGAGGCCAAATGTCGACTGAAGCATCTCGAGTTAAGTTACGAGTCCTTGAGGCCAAGTCACAAGTCAAGTTTGAGGCTTTTCACGCTGAGATGAAAGTCAAAAATCTAAAAATCTAAACTTGTGTGAGGTGAATGTATTCACCCACCAGGTTGTTACATATCTTACTCACTAAAACATTTGTATATCTATTTATACTCATGATAGTTTCATAGTATTACTGTGAATTCATTTTCTAAATATCCATTTGATTCTAACTCTATGTATTTTTCTTCATTGATTCATGTTCTGTCCTAAACGACTTACTGAACTAGTTTACTTCTTCTGCTTCCCTGCAAACGTTTTTCACACAGTTATACAATAAACATCATGAATATTGAACAAATTTTTTATCATCTTCTGCAACTTAAATAAAGCAAAGAGAGCTGAACAAGATCCGTGAATTTCTTTTCTGGGAAATCTGGGGAAATTGTAAAACACATATTTAGATTTATATATTACAATGGTAAACAAAGTGATGGCTTCTGTTCCAACCTTCCACAAAGTTTCATGGAAATCCGTTTTGTAACCCTGTGGCGCCGTAGGAGGAGATTGTGCTGAAAACAACCTTTAGCTTCATTTTCCAAGGAGTGCTCTGAACGGACCTCCCCAGGTGTGATTTAAAAAGTACCTGCTTTTACACCGACGGATTTTGATGCTGTAATTCTGCAACAGCCTTGAACATTTCATCACAGAATAGAACAGCAACATTTTCTCTCCTATGATTCATCTCATTGATCACATTCAATGATCTGTCCTCTACAAGGTTCCCCTGTTGCATGACTGCGGAGAACTTTTACTCAACGAATCACAGATGTCCTTTGTAGAAAGTGCAGATAAATAAGGAATCCATTCATTTATGAATGTCAGACTCAGAGTTTGCGGCACATGACAAGTAAAACTGCTCCCAACTTAGCAAAATTCCTCATTTGTTTATGAGCTGAGGAATAAAAAAACATTTGCCGTCCCTCCCTCTCATCAGCCGTGATTCTGTACGGGTCAAAAATGCAGCAGGCGGTTCATCTGTCCGATCCAGAGTGTGCCGAAAAGACACTTACTTCATTACTTTTGCCCTTTATCTGTCTGTACAGCTGCACCGGCTTTGATAAGGCGGGCGAGTGATGCCTGATGCAGCATTTTTCAGCGGGTAATTGTACGCTATCACTGAGGAATAAATAAGTACGAGTCAAACACAAAAGAGCCTGGATCCCTTTATTACCCGCCTCATACTCCTTCTAAGCACGTTTGAAGATTATGCAACATTCAGCTCCTTTGGCCCAGATTCCAGATGTCAAGGGGAGACAAGACAAAGGTCACTGATGCAGTAGTCTGGTGTTTGCCTCAGCAGATCTTACACCCTGAACTTGTTTTATTAGTTTAGCATCATACTTGGCAAATGGTGCAGTCTAATTATTCTTGTGTAGCTGTCAGACTAAATCAGGGATAAGGCCTACAAGGTTAAAACATGCTTGTAGAGTTGGTTGTAATATGTTGGCAAGATGCTGTAGAAGCTGGAG